GATGATACTGGAGTTACCAGAAAGACTTTGTGGTTAGATGTGAGAGGCAATCATGGTAGGGATAATAACATAGTACACATTTTTAAGACTAATTTTTATTAAAAAAAATTATATGGTAAAATATATAATATTATTTACATTATATTATTTAAATTTATTTCAGATAATTTCAATGTATTAAGTCTTGAATCAAAAAATAATTATTATTCAAACTATTCCATTCAAGGACAGAAGCACCCAAGATCTTATATGTATACCATAAATGTTGGTTCAAAATATTATACATTTATTGCAATAGATGCTTGCTTAAAACCTGGCCCGAGAAGACCATTCAATTTTGTTGGCATGTTAGATGAGCATGAAATTAAAAGTATATACAATTTAGTAGATAAGTCCAAGGATAATAATGCAGATTTTATAATATGGTTTGGTCATTATCCCACATCCTGCATACTATCACAAGCTAATACCAGCATTAGAAATATCATAGGTAATAATTAACAAAATATATACTCTTACATCTAAACATATTGGATTATTAACTTATTTTATTATTGTTTCAATAAGTAAAATCTTGAAATTCTAATTTTACTTTAATTTGTTTGTGCAGAATGATGTATGATCCCAAAATTTTCAATGATAATACATATTATTTTAAAAGTATAATTTTTAGAGAAATTCTAAAATATACTTTCAGGCAAACATAAAGAAAGTATGGTATATCTTTGTGGACATTATCATACGCTTGGCGGAGCAGTGCCTAATATGTACACTCTACAACGAGGAGGATTCCTTGAATTAGAGTTAGCAGATTGGAAAGATAACAGAATGTAAACTATTTGTACTTTATATTCATTATAATAAGAAGCACATTCACTTATTTGTTATATTAAGTTATAAATGATTGTAATATTTGTTTATGTTTATTTTCAGGTATCGTTTAGGAGCAATTGACCATGGTCAATTTTCGTTCATTGATGTAAAACACAAAGAATGGCCTGTAGTACTAATAACTAATCCTAAACATGCTTTGTATACAATGCCCAGGAAAGAGAATATAATATCTGTTATTAAATCTACACATATTAGGTAAATATTTTTCTACAATGAAGTGTATGTTTTTTCTTATATTTAAATATTGTATATTATTCTTGATTTTTATTGTTACACGTTCTTGTTTTTGTAGGATATTGGCATTCTCGATAGCGTTAATAAAGATTGTCGAGGTTCAGTTAGATGATGAACCTTGGTCTGAATGTGAACATGTTAAAGGACCACTCTATGTTTTGAGATGGAACACCACAGATTATAGAAAGGGAATACATACTATTCGAGTTTAGTAAAATATGTTCATTTACTTTTTGTTATTTTTTTGCTTTATAACGCTAGATATTAGTGATATTACATAACGCTTTGTGTATTGAAAATTAATAACAAAAGAAGTAATCACAGGTAAGGGTTTCCGACATGGATGAAAGAGAAGCAACAGTAGTTCAACCATTTGCTCTTGATGGATCACGTTTATCATTTCGCGTTTTACCTAGACTTATACTTATGTCTAACGTTAGTAATATTGTAAGTAGCTTAATAGATATATTACAAAATAATTTCCTGTTTGCGCAAATTTAGGTATTGATATAATCTTTTTCTTATCTAGTTCCAATTCCTCTTTGGAACAGTATTAGTTTTATTAGTAATCCCATTGTGTGTACTTCGTTTCCTTCATATATTGTGTGAGAGTGAGTAAACTTTCATTAAATATTGCTAGAAAGTTCTTAATGTTAAGTAGAAAATTAAAATTGGAACTTTTCCCTAATTAGGGAAACAGATGCATCGACCAAGATTCAGAATACAATTTTTTTATTCATGGGTTAGAAAATTATGGATATTATCTACAGTTGATCGTCTGTTTTTTCCATTAGTATTGTATACATTATATTTAACAGTTGGTAAGCATTTAATTAACTAGCATTTATTAATTTATCATATTTGTTGAACATTCAATTTTACAAAAACGAAATATTTACTTTTAAGGTCCATGGGCTGTTGGTGAAGTAATAGAAAATCAGACGGGTGTAATTTTTGCATGGGGAACATTTATTGGAAAATCATTCTTACCTGGTGCTTTTACTTATGCTTACGGATTTTTCCAATTATTTTCTTTTCATCTACCATTGATGCTAATCTTAGCTAATAGAGTGGATAAACGGTAAGACAAAATGTATCACTTTTTGTCACAGCTTGCATCATATTTATGCATATCACTAAATAAATATACACATAATGAAACAAAATTTAATTTAATGATTTTACAGGTTACAAAATATTAAACCAAATGAGAAACCATTATCTAAGATTTGTTTTGTCCTACAATATTTACCAATAATATTATTAATAATGATGCAAACGTGTATGGCTTATTTCTTCTGGCTAGCATATGGGACATTGGCTACCATATTATGTCCTTTACGCACTTGGAGTATATTTTTAGCAATCATGTTGTGGCATCAAGTAGATACAATGCCATATTCATGTCTAAGGTATGTATTATATCAAAACTTAGATATCCTAAGAAATTTAAATTACTAATCCATGAATTATTGGATTTAGTAATAGTTTATTGCTAAATTTCTTTTATTATATTTTCTACTTATATTAATTATGATTTTTTGTTTATATAAAGGTCTGCTGCAAAAGTATGGTCTCCCCTTGGTTAGTTTATAGAAAATATAACTTACCATGAAAGTGTAGCAAATTACCAGTATTAATTTTATATAACTGGAATATTTTCACGTCCTCACGTACATATTATGTAGTCAATTTATAAAAATATACATTTACATATATATGTATATTAGAGAGGCGCCTTGACGAAATGTATAGAGTTGCACATAGTAGGAAGCCCTCCTCATTTTTTCCAACGCCTACGTATATATGTATGTATGTCTATTTTTATTTACTTACTTCTTATATATCAAATTGAAATAGGCCATTATAAATTTATTTCTTGTCCAGTAAATGTAAACTTAAAGTCATTATCATATAGTTACATATCAGAATTAGCTATGATACATTTCACAAATCTAGATTAGTGTAAAAAATAAAAATTTTATTGCTTACGTTATCAAAAAAAATTGAAATAACTGTAATTGTTATTTATAATCGTACATTACAATCAATAAGTTCCTTTAGAGAATGCCAAAGAATTTATCAACTGGTGGAGTTATAGCAAAGACTGTTAATATTTTTTACACATTTAATATCCGTAAATTGATTTTAATAATTTGCATGTGCTCGAATGTTTTCAAAACAGTAATTTAAGAACATGTGTTCTGAATGACTAATTTAAATACTCTCTAACTATCTCTTTCAATTAATTTTAAAATAATTTCCGTTCATAACAATTATTAACGTGCTTCCATGTTGTTTTACAGAAGTATTTGCATAAAATATGTTATGTAAGGGATTTAATTCAAAACAAGAAGAAAATTTAATTATTTATTTTACGCTACATATTATATTTTAGCTAAAAATTAAATTAAAAGTTTATCTATAGAAATAAGAAAAAGAATATGCAATAACATATGATATTAAAACGTAATAACATTATATTTTATATATAATATAATAGAAGAAACTGTCTGGCTTTATTTTGGAGATAAATTTTTAATAATAACTTAAACAATAACTTCTAAGTATTTTTGTTTTAAAATTTAATTCATCATATATTTCTGTGTGTTAATATTGCCCAGCCAAACTTTATCCATGTAATAAGAAGCAAAATTAATTTAAAAAACTGAAGATAATATAAGTAAAATTGATAACTTTACTATTTTCAATTTATGAAAGGTATTATTTTTCCTGAGGTAAATAGCCCTAATTTTTTAATGATAAATTTCTTTAATATCTTTTTATATTTTATTCATATAATTATATTTTGATTTAGATGGTTCAGGCAAAAAGAAAATGAAACAATGTGTGGATAATTGACATCTTTTTTAAAATACAAATCAATATTTCCTTAAAGAATAGGTTTTATTGCTATCCTATATTTTTCTACAAACTATCTAACTGTTATTGTTCTCAAATATGATCTCAGAACTGTAAAAATGTGATCTCAGTAGACCAATGATTCCCAGTCATTAATAATTATGAATTTCTTCCATAAATATGCCAATAAATTTTCAGAAAACTTTAAGAATGTGATTGAAAGTTCATTTTTAGTTATTATTCATAAATGTATACACAATATTAATTTACAATATACCTACAACTTTTTAATAACTATAGTGCCTGTTTTCATGTACTTTTTGGTTTTGTACAAAACAATTTTCAAAAGTTTATGAAATTAATAATTATTGGGAATCATAATTAATTCTTTATTTTATGAAGTATGAGCATTTAATGTATTTTATAAACTGCTACAAGAAAAATAAGAAATATTATTTTCAAATAATTCATGCATAACATAAAATATATCTTTAATCACTCGACTGAGTAGTAATATAAAAAATATGTAAAATATATACTATGAAGTTTACAACACAATAACGCATGTAAGTGTTAATAAATGTTATACATAGCTTGACTAATTTGAGAATTGTATAATTATTGAATAGACTACAGATATTTATGCAAATTCATATTTTTATAAACGCAAAGAAAAAGCTAAGTGGAAATTTATTTCACCTACTAAATAGTGCGAGCAGTCTAATTTAGATATTTTATATATTTTTGCCTTTTTAAATTTCTCATAAATGCATAAAAATCCGCGGTCTACTTATTAATCATCTCGACTTTATTCATTTTGATTACATTACGACTTTAAACTATCCCAACTATCCTAATTGTATCGCATAATTTAAGTTTCACCATTCTATGTAATGTTAATATTTGAATGCGTAATGAAGAATATATCTAATAATTCTCGAAAGTTAATAAAGGAAATAATTCGAAAATGCTTCCTTAAGATTCATTTCTTAAATGTTCTTAAATTGCTTTTAAAAAGAAATGCGCGGGAATTAATTCTGCTGAATGGAAATGCGCGATTTATTACTACTTATAATAGTTGTAAGTGCCTTTCCATGTAGTTTTTTGTAACTTTTCCCCGGCGTAAGTACCAACAGAGCTAAGATTTCTCCCTAAAAATATGTTAGGGTTTTCCATCGTACGGTTGCCTAGGTAGCCACGGACGACAAAATATGTTTGGCGTAAACAAATTGGTTCTCGTGAGAAGCTGAATTATTTTGTGAAAATCAATCGCATATGACAGTTCTTGTTAGTACATGTCGGCAATATGACATCTCTAGATTTAAGACAACAGAAACTCGAACAGCAGGTACGCAAGTAATAGATTTAAATTCTTCTGATGATAATTTTGAAATGTTGAATTTTCATTTAAATCACAATCATGTATTTTGTATTTGTAATACTTTAAAAGATGAAAGAATGTTATTAGAGTACATATCATGTTATAGGAAGACAGAAATAATAAAATTATTTCTTTAGCTTTATACTATTATATATAATATACTATATAATAGTATATTATACTATTATATATATATGTACACGCATACGTATACATGCACAGAAAGTAGGTCATTTAAATATTTATAAATTTGTATATAGAGCAATTATAATATAATGGTCCTTTTATTGAAATTCGATTTGACAAGACAACAAATATTCTATTTTGCATTGAATTTGTGAAAAAATATATTTATTTTATGTTTTTCACGTTTTTGATATATATTTCTTATTCATAAATTCCAATTAAAAATTATTATTTCAGTTTTCTAAAACATTTGGTGTTATAATGATTTTATCAATTACAGAGGCAATTAATTGCACAAAAAATGAAACAAAAACGACAAAGTGGCGCTGGTGGAATGGTACAGGCATCTAACATATCAAGCACTCAGCTTACAAGTCATTCTACAAAATGGATGAATCCAAACAAAGAGCTTCGAGGTAAGTTTAATGAGGTAAGAAAGTTAATTATAATGAAATATATAATTTTTGTTTTTCTTAGGATATGATGGGCCATTACAGTTTAATATATCACACACAAACCCAGATTTAAATACCTTTGCAGAAAATAAGGATGTGGAATCAAGGATTCATGGTATATTAATTAGATGTTTAATTTAATTTAATTGTAACTATAACAGATATATGAATGTCACATTTTTGTCATAGAAGTAAGCACAGAAGGAGGTTTTTATCAAACTATGGAAGCTGCAGATTGTGCAGATGAAGAATCGTCACCTATAGATATACACTCTCCTTCGGAATCTTTACCATGTCCTTCACCTCTTAGAGTAGCTCCATCAGATGGTGCTAGCACACTTATCAGTAGGGAGAATAATTCTTCAGTAAGTTTGCTTTTAACTAAAAAAAATTATATATCATCTAAAACATGTATCATTGATTTATCATTCAGAGTCCAGAATTAGAGGGAAACGTGGAAGGGAATATAGAGCATTTTGTATTACAACCAGCAAATAAAAAAATGCATTACAAATGTAGGATAACACGTGATAGAAAGGGTATGGACCGTGGCCTCTACCCAACTTATTTTTTACACTTAGAACGTGATTATGGGAAGAAGGTATGTGATTCTTTAGAAAATCTCTATAGAACAAATACATCTACAAAACGCAAACAATATATTTTTCATTTATAGATTTTCTTACTAGCTGGACGTAAAAGAAAAAAAAGTACAACAAGTAACTATTTAATTTCTACCGATCCTACGGACCTTTCAAGAGCAGGCGAATCTTATATTGGAAAATTAAGATCAAATCTTCTGGGAACACAATTTACCGTATACGATAATGGATATTCATTAATGAAAGATGATAAAAGAGACGATCGTTTTAATCCCAGACAAGAATTAGCGGCGGTAATATACGATACTAACGTTTTAGGATTTAAAGGGCCACGTAAAATGACTGTCATTATCCCGGGAATGACATCGGATCAAAAAAGAGTTGAGATTTGTCCACGGGATGAGTCCGAAACACTTCTTGGTATATATAAACTATCATTTTAATGCAGATATTATTGAATCAGTATTTTTACTCTTTATTTTTTATTTCCTCAGAACGATGGAAAACAAAAAATATGGACAACTTAATAGAATTACACAATAAGACTCCTGTATGGAACGATGACACACAGTCATATGTACTTAATTTCCACGGACGCGTAACTCAAGCGTCTGTGAAAAATTTTCAAGTGGTACACGATAGTGATGGTTTGTATTTTATGCCTTTGACATAAGGAAATATTTTAGATGAAAGAATACTTGGAAAGTTTATAATAGTCACACTTCTGTAGATTAAAGAAAATCACTTTATGATTTTGTGTTTTAGTTGATTACGTTGTTATGCAATTTGGCCGTGTGGCAGAAGATGTTTTTACAATGGACTACAGGTTTCCATTGTGCACGCTTCAAGCATTTGCCATCGCTTTAAGTAGCTTCGATAGTAAGTTAGCTTGTGAATAATATAATTCATAATTGAACATAAAAATGATTATACATCTATGGGCGATAAACTACACTGGTTAGAAGAATCCGCAATGGACAATCAACAGATTGTAATGATGTTTTTCTACAAGCATATTCGTAACAATAACTATTCTATTGATATCTGATGTAAGGATAATCGGTATAAATCGTGTGTTCACTTTTCTTATATATGGATACTGTTTTTAAATGCTAAACATACATTTCACATTTGATGCATTGCGCCCAAGGATTAAGATAACAGTTATAACTGTATTGTTGTTGATCCTAATATATTGTGCTATAATGTGCATTTTGATTCATATTGCACATGCAATGTTTTATTGTTAATACTTGTAATAATAATATTGCCTATAGACGTTCAGTGATGAATAATATACATGGTAAAGAATTATAATTTAAAAACAAACTGTACAATCTTTAATTTATATTTTATTAATTGTTTGCTCTCTTATTCAATATTTGAAATATTTTAAACTATGTTTGTGCAATCAAATGTCTGGTATTTACAAGGTTCACATTTTGGTATTATCATGATCAGGTTTTTACACAAACGATATTTTATAACAATGATATTAATATTGATACACTGCACAATTTACTGCCTAAACAGATGATAATGAATCTTTGTATCAAAAGTATATGGAATACATATATGTCGAGTTATTTTTATGCTATATATCTTTGCTTGAAGATATCAAGCACATTTTACACTCATGATAATAAAATAACACAAAAAATTATATGAGAAGTAAGATTAAAGGTAATATTTATCTGCAATGTTTTTTAGAACTGACATTAAGGAGATAAATGATCAGTTATTTGCAAACGGATTTGTATGTAATTTATTACTTTTTCTTAGAATTGGGAATAATCTTACAAATGACAAATATGTTTTTATTTACATGAAAATATGTTGTGTATAGCTCCCAGTGCATAATATTGTATCTCACTGCGTGAAAAATTTTTTAATATCTAAGTGCACTAGTCAAAGATATTGCTATAGCAGTGTAACCACGATTTCAGTGTACGTATTATAATGGATCTGTTAATCATTGTCTAAACGTATCATTCAAAATACATATCAAGTATTTTTATTTGATATACAACTTATTGTTCAAAAAACATGTTATCATTGACATAAAATCCCTTATATTTATAAAAATACCAAAGATATGTTGATACTTATGTATAATGTAGAATGAATTCATTAAAGCATTGATAAAAATATTTTTATGCTGTGCCTTTACATAACATTAATTGCACATTAGGGAATTGCAAAGAAAAACTTGACAATTTTTATTTCATTATGTAAATCTTCATCCATTGAATTCGACATTTATAAGCATTTTAATAATCATGTACTATTTTCATCAAATTTACAAAAGGTAAAGTTCATTATTATTTTAAAGTTTTGTAAGATCATTTATTAGTGTGTTTTATGCAGCTGGGAATTAGATATATATGGTATTAAATGTTCATATATATATATAATAAAATAAGATAAAATAACAAAAAGTAAAGTGAGATGTAAACAAATGTAAAATTGCAACAAATTGCAACGCGAAAAACAACATTATAGAAGTATTGGAGAAAATTTGTAACTTTATAAATTTTATACATCTTAAGTTTTGTTTGTGATAAAGTACTGCTATTTATAAAAAATGAATGTGTATTTTATCAAAGAAAGGTGCTACTGAAAGGAAAATCATTTTTATCAAGATAAAGCAAAACCAATTTAAATACTATACAAGTAAACAGTATTAATATTATTTAGAATGTCAATTAGACATTTTATAATTGTAATATTTCATATTGGACTTATTTTTTACTTCAGTAATGTTAATACCAAATAGCATTTAAGATGTATTGATAATACTTTAATTGCGTGTGAGTGTGCGTGTACACATTAAAAAGTAAAATCTGTAATTAGCTTATCATGTTTAATGTTGTGAATTGAAGTGTTCAATGGGTATTATATTTTCATCAATCTGAAAATAAATACAAATTGCAACTTTTTATGGTTTGTTTTCAGATCCATAACTTAAATAGATTTATATGAACATTAATTTTGTATATAATAAATCATTTTTTAAAAGATATGAAGGAATTATAATTCTTGGCACAAAAGGAGTAGAAAATGGTTGAAAGGTTGAATATTTATGACCATAACATTTATTAGTAGAGACTTTAATAGAAAAAGATCACATGAAAGTTTTACACCAATACTGAACGATAAGATTAGTGAACAGGTAATTAATTCCCTTAGTTTAAATGTATAAAAAAAATTTTTTGTATTGAAATACAATGAAGGCACTTAAGGTCTAACATTCAAAGATATAAATAAAGGATTAATGTGACTATCACTTTTACGTTTATTATTTACAACATGAATACAAGTTCTCAAATTTTAATTGAATATTTGTTTAATCAAAAGAAGAAATGATATACAGAAATACTATTCAAGAATCTTATTCTTGTGTTTTCCACTGTCATATTAAATATATTACTATTTTCAATATTGTTTTATTTTCATCAATATTTTTTTCTTTTCTATTTAAAAATGTATCCAAACTAGAATCTTGTAAAACTAGACCTTCCAATTTTACTTTTTACTTCTTATACCTTAATTTACTACTATAGAGGGGTGCCAAATTAATTGCATAGAATTATTGGTATTCGAAGAACATTTTAAAATATGATCAAATATACTCTATATTGTATGTTATAAAATAACTATAAATCCAAGCTTATATCATTACAAATTCAAACATAACACAACAAGCGCAACGATTTATCATAAAATATGTAGCATTAAAATTCAATGTCAAATGAATTCAATATCGAAGTTGTAACCATGCGTATAAAACTGATAATAACCTTAAAACCACATTAATGAATGAGCACTTTATTGCTCCTCTTGCTGTTATTGCTTCAAGCAAAGAATTACAGAAGAGGAATGTTGAACAGAGTGTCAAGTATCAGAATACTAACTAAGACAAATCGCTTGCAAACTTGATTTAAAATATATCATTTCATATAAATGTTTTTCCATGTACATAAAACATACTTGAAGAGTCTATAATATTGCAAAGCCTTCTTTACAAATGAGTCTTTTGAAAATACCAAAAACTATAAAGTCCATTGTGAAAGCTTTAAAATTTATATCATTAAAAAACTTTTCACGGATATCCTAATTATAATTATTACTTGTTTACTGATTTATTTATATAGAGTTTTGATATTTGATGTATTTACCATAGCATATTATTTTGTCAGCAATTAAAATAGTAATGGAACTTGAATTTAATATATATATATAATATAATATATAGTATAATTGTATATTAACTGACTATGCATTTTTCTTAAGCATCTGTACGCTGTGATATGTTATAATCTTCAATTTCTTGGTTTAATATAAAAAATGATGTTTCAGGACGGAAATGAAATGCACAAGGTATACAATAAATGATGATTTATTGTACACATTGTTTAGTAAGCTCCATAGCATAGGAAAGAAGTGACGTCATTCAGAGATATTTATTAAAGTAACACAGAATATTATTTTTTAACAAATGATACTTTTTGATTAGAAACAGTAATTAATTTATTCTAGGAGGAGCTTACTCTATTTGTCCTAAAAGATAAATGCGGTATTTCACAGATATTTTAGTTTTCCATTTTTAATTACATTTTCTAATTTCAAATGAATTATATTTTTTATAACTTTATGGAAGGCTATTGTAGAATGTACTACAAAACATTTCAAGAGTTTTAAATATTTTATATACATTTTTAATACGAATGATTAAAATTTTCAATTTTCAGCGTACTAAGCATATTTTTTGGTTTCACTTTAATATATAAATAGAATTATTAAAGATTTGCAATTTCTAGTAATTAAATTGACATTGACCTCTTCTATGATATACGAACAATTTTTTAATTAACTTTTGGTAACTATAATTTAAGATGTAAAAGTTTATAAAATCAGAAGAGCATTCCACTAATTCTCATGTATTTAAAAGCATTCATTTCCAGAATATAGAAGTTATTATAAAAATCAGAGTTAAAAATATAAATATTGCAGATCAGCAAGAAATTATGCTCAAGGGTATTAAAAATATACAAATATATCGCATAGAATCGATAATATACCATAAATTGCTGTGTATTCAATCTAATTATTTACTTTAGTACACATCATAGGCCATATATATTGAAAATGGTACTATATTAGTTCTTTTTAGATGATTTTATACACTTTACATGTCGTTATAAAAATTTATGTAATAATGATTAAACCCTAAACTTTTAATACTGTTCTGTAGAAAAAAATTGCATTAAAAAATTTCGATTTGATGTTCTTTCAGGCCTATCTATAACTACATGTAATACAAAATTCATATTTTGTATATACCCCTTTATGGAAATTATTATTTTTATCACTTGAATATTTTTGTTGTAAATTTTTATTCTCTTCAGTTTTTTTTTACGTGGAATGTGATTTTTTTTGTAATAGTATAAAATAAACTTATTTCTAAATACTTTCTTAGGTTTAAATACTTTTCATATCAGTCCATTCTCACTGTTTCATGTGATTTTCCTGACAATAAAGTTTATAAAAATGTCAGATCCAAAAATTTCTCTTATAGCTACACACAGCATGTTACTGGTATATTATTAACCCTGTAAGTGGAATACACACATCGTGCATATACTCTCTTGTTGACATACAATTCCATTTTATATTTAACAACATTTTTATAAAAAATGATTTTTATATATCTACACATGTAACAGGGATTATCTCATGCTGCAAATATAGCAATTCATATTCATTATATTTTTGCGTTTTCGCAATATATGAAAATCATTCAGATTAAAATATAAGGACTCTATAAATAATTACTGAAAAGCTAAAAATTTGGAGGGGTAATTTTTGGTTTTAAATATCTCAATATTTTAAAAAAAGCAATTTAGATAAAAGAAGGTTAACATGAAACATTATATTCTAAATAGTCTTTCAACAGATCATTTGATAAAAATATTTGTACACCAAATTGTCATAAAGATATTTCATTTTTAAATTTGTTGTTTTTTTTATAAACATAAACAGTCTCAAAAAGGTTAGGAGTATGATATAAATTCAATTTGTTCTATTTTTTATTATTCTTGAAAATCTAATAATACTGAATTTTATCATCTTCCCTCCAAGATCATAACTTAAAACATCTTTTATACAAATTGCAGTATGAATACAGATTAAATTACGAATATTATTTAAAAACGCATACTTTGATTATGGATACCCCTTATAATTTTACATATATCCTCGTTTTATATCTCCTTGAATATTCTTTGCGGTTGGCCTGACAAATCTAGGTGCTGGTATGCGTGATGGTGGTCTAGGAATAGCGCTCATAAGATTTGAAGGTCTATTGCCTGTGTTCCAATTTGTTGGTTGTCGCAGTCTCGTTTTATTTTCAACTTTCATAACTGGTTTATTAAAAGCCTGTATGATAGTGTAACATTTAACAAGTAGTCTTAAAAATTATTCGTAAACAAAGTTTATATACATAAAACAAACAAAAAACTCACTTCAACTTTTTTTACCATGTCTACTTCATTCTGTTGTTTCAATACAGTTTCTGTAGATAGATCTTAAAAAGACACATTAGTAAGTACTTTTTATATAGTCGAAACAATCAAAATTATATGAAGATTGTTAAATACACTATTGTAACTTACCATCAGTATTTATTGACTGACTAGATCTTGTAGGACTTAATATTGGAGAGCTTGTTTTAACATTGAAGTCAATACTTAATGGTGAATCACTGTCACAATTATCAATACCATTCTTTAGTATAGGAGAAGACAAATCTTTTTTTACACCAACCCAAGCACTTTCTAAAACTCGTCTATTTAATCCAGATGTTGCATCTTGTTTCAAACCTAAAATATAAGGAATATAAACATTATGTTTTATATAACATAATATATTTTTAATATCATGATATAAATATTACTAACTTTCTTCTTGCATCCGTACTATCTGATGCAGTTGTTCAATATTCATTGGCTGTGTTGTATATGAATTGTGGCTACTATCCGAACATGTACTAAGTCTATCATCTAAATCAGGTGCACTATGAGCACTATGTGTACTTTCAATACTTTCTGTAGATCCTGCAGCACCTAATACTTGAAGTTCCCCAACACCTGTATTCAATTCTAAAAGGCGTTGTTCAGAACCACTTCTCATTTTTCCGAGAGAATACAATTTGTTTGCTAGAGTTTTTTCAACATCTCTTACAATGTTTGGTTGTGAACCTTTCATGTATCCATAATTAGACACATTTGTACCTGTTATGTTAACAGTTTTCAACGAATTTGATACAAGATTCGGATTAGACTTTTGAAGAAACTGTGGCAATTTTGAAAACATCCGCGGTACATGTTGCTTCCGCTTCTGTAATTTTGAAATTGGTTTTACGAATGTAGCGTCCGCGTTATCAAATGATTCTGCATTTTCCATGTCAGTTTTGCCACCATGATTACTACTCTTTTTTGTGAATGTATAATATTTCTTTTCTGGCGAATTTTTAATACAAGCTCCTGCCTCGTCTGCTATTTCGGCATGAAGTTTAATTTTGTTAATTGGTGATTCCTTTTTATATGTATTGTATCTATTTTCTATAGGAATATCATTCTTGACATTCTGGCTTAGAGCCTCATTGATTTCCTTCTTAGTTTTCCCAATTTGGTGTTCTTTAATTACATGATTGAAGGTAAAATCCAGTCTATGATCTTCACTTTTGTGTATTTCCGATAATAATTCTTTCCTCAATGTCGGCGCTTTAAAATTTGAATTTAAAGCTGTGTTGTATACTCGAGATGATTCTAAAGGCTTAGACTTGGTAATCGTTCTATGCGTGAAATTTAACATGTCTATACTTTTGGGAGTTGACTGGTTGCAAAGAGGAATAGGCAACTTGAATATAGGGTTGAAAGCATCATCGTGAAGTGTAAAAGAAGAATCTGTAGAAGGTATGGAAGGTTCATTATCTTTCAATACATCATGAACTATACCTTTTTGCAAATCGTATACTCGATCTTTATCACATTGCATATCATTTTTACCAGTTGAAATTATACCATTAATTGCTTTTTCAGTATCTGCTGTACAATATGTAGTATCTAAAATATGCGAATTTTCTGCTTTTTGAAAAACCGAAGGATATGTAGTGTTTAAATTGCATAATTCTTTTCTCTCACTATTTTCTGATTGTAATATTTGTGTATTAGTATCATCTTTATTTACATATGTGGAAGACAACTTAGTTATACTAAATCTATCTTTATCTGAACTTGATAACACAACCATTGCAGAAGCTTCATCAGCATTATAAGTTTCATTTAATTCTCTTTCAATGTCATCAGATTTATTCGTTGTGCTCAGGCAGTAGCTTTTGTTATTGTCTGCTTCATTACTTTTTAAGAAAGTTTCATTGACATTTGAATCTTTAATATCTTCACACTTGTAAATTTCTTGACTGCACAACTGAGTTATATTTAAAGATTCCTCATCTCTGTTACATTCTGTATTATGTAATGAATCATCTCTAGGTAATGAAGTGATAGATGAATAAAAAATAGAAGGTTGTGAAACGTTCATCAGTGGATCACTAAGGCCAGGTTCCATTAAATTAATAAATGAGTCAATTCCCTTTGATTGAGACATATTTAAGAATACTTCCATGCTTTCTTGGCCTGATGTTACAGGCTCATCAGGGAGAAAATTAATATTTGTATTAGGTGCCATTTTTAACATAGGAGGCACAGCTTCTTCTTTGTTTGTAGTAGATATGTCTGAATATTTGTTTAACTACATACGAAAAAGAAATATACTTAAATTTAAACTTATACTTTGAGCATATATACTATATGTATAATATATAAATATAAATAAACTTACATCTTCCTCTATATTTGAAAAATTCGAAGTTTTCCATGTATTTGACACAGGTGAAGATAAAGATTCCAAAATAGATTCAAAAGTAGTTCTACTAGACCGCTTTTTCGATCTTGTAAATGTTCTTGTATCAATAGATTTTTTATTAGCTGAATAAAATATATATAAATTAAACATATAAAATAAATATATTGTAAAAAGATAATGATTGACATTTTCAATACCTGAAAAATTTAACTCTGGTTCAGTTTTTAACCAGGTGTACAAATCATGGACAGTGGATTCCATTTTATATTCTGATGGTATGTACAACCTAACAAGAGATATAATTCATAATCATTAGCTATTGCTTCAACAGAAGCTTACATAGACAAATATAGAATCTACCAAATGATTCATTAAACTAAAATACATATTCTTGCATACATTATGAAATATATGCTTCTTAAATTCTTAAAAGCTGTTATATTTTTAGTACTAAGAATAAAAAAAAATATAAGCTTAAAGAGTATTTCTATAAAACATCAGCGAATTTTTTAATTTTTTTTCAAAAAATTAAGATTTTTAATGTATGATAATAACAAAGTATGATAATCTTATAAGAAAATGACAATTCTTTTGAAACTTAAACAGTAGCTAAAACAATTCAACTATTGTAAACATTCGACATAATTATAAATTATCTTAGAACTACTTACCAGCCATCACTATCATCAAAATCAAAAACAGACACATCGATGATTTCAGTTTCATCAATAAGGCTCGTATCGTTTGTATACTGCTGCCGCACAATTTCTGTATCCACTTTCCTTTCTGACATGTTTTGCTCAGATTACGATATTAAAAGTTTCGATGAACACATATTTTACCGTTAAAGTGCCTTTTCCCGTTTAGCTCGATGACGTGGTAGATATATAAAAATAGTGTCACGTTTTGCCAAGTCATTTACAAAATTCCTCGCTATTCGGCACCGTTTACAGTTTAAAAGTATATATATTAAAATGAATTGAACCCTTGACAAACATAACCACAGATAGGACAATAGGAACTTTTATTCGGGATTTTCAATTTGTTTTCAAGAAGAATCAACGCAGACCACGGTACAAAATAAATTCATAGAAGGTTCGTTTTATTGCGTTTTCTTTCAACTTCCCTTGACTTTCCTTTTATAGATATCACTTTATTGTGGTTTAATATCTCTTTCACAATCTGTTTTTTCCAAGTTTCATTTGCCCAATAGAGTCTTAGCAAATCTAGGGAATAATGAGTAATAGCCTTTAGTTTTTACTTCAGAACATGCCTTTAAAAAACAGATTGTAAATTTAATTACCGATAGAGGGTAACAATTTTTTTGCACTAATTATACATATAGTTAAGTAGTCTTTTATTTTTCTCTCAGAATTCTTTTTTAAAATTTTTAAAAATTTTATCCTAGTCTATGTAGAGATCGTGCTTTAAGAAGTTTAATTATATATTAGTATTCGTTCGTTTATGATATTAGCAAAAAGAAGATTAGATAATAATAAAAACAACAATAAAAATGTTAATAATCTAGTAGAAAATATTTTTAACGTTCAATTTCTTTCTCTCATGTGTAGTATCTTATCTTTTAAACTGAAACCAAGTTCGATATATATGTACTTCCTCCCTGGTTATATAAAATAGTGAATATAAGATGTTCGAATTTCTCCGATCGAAGTCAATTCGACTTCAGAGTTTGTTAGGATCAAAATTTATTAGTACATTTTGTAAATATAAATACAGAAAAGATATTAGATATGTCTATATAACATCGTAAATGTTTTTGCATGTTTTTGCATATTTTATATTTTATATTTTGTAAATTAATATTAAATGATTGAATGTAATTAACGTAACTAATAAAATTTAGTTACTACAATAAATTATTTAATTAGTTTGCAACTTCTTATGTTCATTAATAATTGAACTTAAATATCATACACGTTATATTAGACAGTACTACAAATTCATTTAATAATTATCGTTTGTGATAAGTAGTTCCAAATAAAACTAGTAAAGTGAGAAATGATTGACATGCATTACATATGTTTTAGTTTAATGTGGATGTAACCTAACTTTTTTCATGATTGTTTATTGTGGTGTTTATCTGTGGTAATAAGTGTAATTATATTAAGAAACAACTGATTTTGTGCATAACATAAAGACGTAAGTTTTAAATGTTACTTCTGAATGATCAAAATTCCTTAAGTTTCGTTAATCTTGTAATATAATATTTTGTTTCTAGCGAAAAAAATTGGAAGAAGTTAAGCAGCAATATTTTTTAAAAACAACAAATTGGATTAACTATATAATCTAAAATGTACATTTAATGTACAATATCTACCTTAACTTTGTTAAACGAGCTTTAAATAAATCTTCACACTATTAAAAATTTATTATTTTAATAATGAATATTAACTCAGATAACAATGAACCAGTAGAAAAAAGAACTAAATCTAATGATATAGAAAATGATTCATTCAGTGTTTTAGAAGATGAAAGTGACACAGATAAACATTCTGAATGTCAAAAAATGATGGATTTAATAGATAATGAAGATGAAAGTATTTTGCTATCAAATAAAGATGATGATGATGATGATGATAGTTTATTTCCATTTCCTCCTGACAATGATGTTACAGACATGTTGGAAGGAGTAAAATATCATGGATCATTTCCTACAATTACAGATCGATATTTTACTGCTTATTATAAATTAGATGTACAAAGTCCCGCAGATGACATTTGTATTTTAATGCATAGTAACCGAATTTGCATGCTTACTCTTGCTCCGAGTCACGCAATTCTTCAAGATGATAAACATATAATAAAAGTAGACTTCAAAGTTAGCAATAAATTAGATAGAGTTCAGAATAAAGTTTCTGGTAAAAGTAAACATGGTGCTCAACCTTTACAAATGAATTCTAATATTTGCATAATTACTTGTTCAAACGAAAAAACGTACGTTATAAAATGTTGTATAATTGGCAAATTGGTAGAAGTAAATGAAGCACTAATACAAAATCCTAAGCTCTTGTTGGAACCTCCACATAGAGCAGGCTACTTAGCTATAGTACTGCCAAATATAAAACTTTTAGACAAAATGAAAAAATCCTTATTAACTCAAGAACAATATGACTTGAAGATGCTAGAGCGACGAAGCACTACAAATCACTTGGAAATATCAGAAATATGCACATCAAATACTTTATTAAAAAATGACCTAAAAATAATAAATAAGGAAATTTAATTACTTACTATAGTGAAAACCAAATTACATTATGTAATCCTATTTCTAATTGATTTCATTTGGCTAAATAATATTATACCATTTCATTTAAACCTTCAACATGTATATATATATAAAAGTATTTACTTATATTTTTGTCTATTATAATCAATATTTCAGAACAGTAGTTCCAGTAACTGTTTTCTATCTACACTGCTGTAATCTTTGGTGTACCTTCCAGTTCATAAATTTGGAATAGTATTAAATAAAAATTATTTTTATTTAAATTACTCCGAGTTGAATTGTCAATGATACTAAAGACACCTTGGTAAACATTGTAATCAATAATTATTTTATGGCACCTAACATATAATTAAGACTATGTAATTCCTTAATTTACTGGAACCAGCCAGTTATTTACCTCGTGCTTTCTGTCTATTACATATAATTTGCCTCTGTAGTATCTCAGTTCGTATATTTAATAGTCATTTATAATAGCGATGCAACTACTCTTGCTTTTCTTTGATAAAAGTAAATTCGTTTTCTGATTTTTGTACGATATTGTCATCTTTTTTACATTTAGTATCTTTTATGAGATTCCCTAAAATAATTCCTGCAAAGAGAATCATTCCTATCCTGTGATTAGAGATGAATTTTTTGGCACAGTCTGCAGGATTGTTGATATTCAAACTATAAATCTAAAAAGATATGTACATTGAATATTTCTTTAGATTATAACTTTTCCTTATACACTTGTTTCAAAATTATATAATGCATACCTGATTAACAAGATGTGTACCAACTAATCCTACTGCAGTGTAATATGGCCAAGTCTGTGCAGTTAATATACCTGATGCAAGTAACCCTGTTATCATGATTGTGCTGAATCCAGATAAATAAAGTTTAGTCTTATTTCCGAACTTTAAAGCTGTTGATTTTATGCCTACTATAACATCATCCACTTTATCCTATAATTAGAAAGTAGAGAATATATGAAAGCACATTAAAGTAAATTACATCAGTAAATTATGTAACATATTAAATCAAATATATCAGAAAGTTGAAATTTACCTGATGTGCATATATAGTATCATACAAAAGTGTCCAACAAATTCCAGCAGTATAAAGTGGCAAGCATACAGACCAATTACACGAACCATGCACTGCAGACCAACCCAAAAGAGCACCCCAGTTAAAAGTCATACCAAGGATCAATTGTGGCCAATATGTTACTCTTTTCATAACTGGATATACTATTACTAAGACTGTAACAAAAAGTTTAGTGATTTAAAGATATTTACTTTAACAGTATTTCTAAATTTTAATTAATAATTTTCTGAGAAAGACTAGTAAACTGTAATCATGAAACACAATCTTTTTTATATCCTCTATTACTAATAAGATGATCTCCAGTTGCTTCTTTATTTTTATATATATGTAATAAGTTATAATAAAGATAATGCTTTGAAAATTGAAAATGATTTGGCATTAATTAATTGATAAAATTAAGAAATACTGTTTTATATAAACTGTTTAAAAGTAGTACCTAGTGAGCTTGCACCCAATATAATACTATAAAGATTTAGTTGCAACAATATAAGCAATCCCAAAGTTAATTGGCTTCCAAGGAAAATCAATGATTGTAGGGGTGAAATTTCCCTAGTAACCAAGGGTCTATCTTTTGTTCTGGCTACCTAGCATTAAAATGTCCTCATAATATCTTATCTTAAAATATTTGTCAAGACAATATTACCATCCCATCAATATCTTGATCCCACATATCATTTATGATGCACCCTGCTCCACGCATGATGAATGCACCCATCCCAAAAAGAGATAAAAGTTGAAGGTCTGGTAAGGCACCTGGTGCTGCTGCCATGGCTATACTCCAACCACATGGCCAAAATAATAACCAAGATCCTACATTTATAAGTTACTGATCATTATTTGTATAAGTTACATTCATTTTATATTATGATTGTAATAATAATAATTTTTAACTAACTTCTTTCTTACCTATTGGTCTATCCAATCTTATGAGTTTCAGGTATGGTTTTATTTTAGGTGGAGAATTATTTACTAATTTTGCAAATGTGAGTTTTTGTTTTGACTGAACATTTGCTGCTTTAGCAAATTCTATTGTTTCATCACCCGTATTCGATAAGATCTTAATTGACTTTAATTTCTCTTGCGTTGGTGTTTTATCATTTTCATAATTATGTTTATCATACATGCAAGATATGGTATGAACCGTATTGCAAGAGTACAAATAGTTTACAACACATTTTCTTTGATTAAATTGCAGGTAAAATTTTAAACATTTCCCACGTCCAAATAATTGTTGATACAATTGCATCATTATCATAGTTTCGTGTTTTATTAGTTGTAAATAATATTTAGGAATCTGACATAACCTCAATTTCCTTTAATTCACGTCATGTTGTGGTTAAATATAAATTACTGCAAATACTAATCGTACATTTTGCTTAGTAATGTTACTAAGTATATCTTTTAAGTCATCTTGATAACAAACCTTGTGGTACTTTTTACATTACATAAGAAATGCAATAAAATGTGCTATAAAATTGAATCGTCATACTTTATAGCTGTATTACATGGATGTAATCTTGCATAACACATACTTCGCATGCGCACAATACGCAATCGCGTAGTATATTTCGATACGCCGATACTTAAGATGATATTGTACTGTCAATATAATAAATACATGGTAAAGTAACATTTCAATTATTCTGAGTCGAATCTGCTGGCATATTCAAGAAGATACTGTTTAATTGTACATAATATTTTCTTAATTTGAGTAAGTATAAATTAAGTAAATAATAATTAGATAATATAGAAATACACTAAATAAAAATATACTTAAATATTGTGTTATATAGAAATAACAAAGAGATAAAGATGCCTATAATTCTATTTCTTTAAAACGTATTTCATAAAAATATTGAGATTTATATACGCATACGTCACCATACATGTATGTCATAACATATGATCATAAATAAATTTAAAAAAATAGTATTTTTTTATACATATATAACACTACACTATATATTAATATATATGATAATAATATTATCAATTATATATATACATTAATCAATTAATATTTCACTAATGCTTCTGATATTAGTTGTAAATGATAGGATTATGATAGATAGATAAATCTTTAGCAAATATGTGAGTGGAGGGGAGATCCTGCCTCTCCCCCTGCATTTCTCTTTCTTTTGTAAAATATAACCTAGCCTAATCTAACTATCTTAAAATCCTAACATATCTACCCTGTAAACGTTAATTTCATAACACGTTAATCTCATAGACGTAGAAATATAGTGACCGAATAATAACTGAGGGGGGTGAAGCGACTTCAGCGGGAGAGAGGGGTAACATTTGTGACATTTGTGACCGAAAGCATGGATATGTTCATGAGTAGAAGTGAATCCGAAAATTGGTCAGGACAAAGTTAGCACCTCAGCGGTACTACCAGATAGAGCTACTATGGCTCATATACTCAAGTACTTACAATATCCCGCTCTCCGGAAGTGACATCACACCCCACACCAGCCAATCAAATTTGTACTAGGTCCCTGTATTTCTATGTTACAATTAATTCATCAAAATAATGATTGTATAAACAGGTTTCGACACTCACCAGGGGAAACCTAGAAAATTGGGCAATATTTAGGCATGAAAAATCAACATAAAAAGTCAACAAAGTCTGTGTTTTTGCGAGATAGACAGAGATGGGTGGAGTATCTCTGTCTCTATCTGAGACATTTATAACATGTCACGCATGCGCAGAACGAAAACCTTCTATGTTGATTTTTTACAACCAGCCACGGCTCAATTTTCGAACAATTTCCCCTAGGCTTCAGTATATGGGTGTCGAGACCTGTTTATATAATCGTGATTCAAATTTATTTATCTTATATCATCTACATCCTATGTTAGTAGAATGATAGGATAATTAAATTGATATACATATATTCTAATATATAGTATACATATCAATGATTTTTCTCGACTCAATTTTCGAGTGGTTTTCCCTAGCAGGTGTTGAGACCTGCTTACAGGACCGTGGTATAAACTGAAGAAATATTATATTTTTATTTATTTTAACGAAATAAAAAAGATTTTTAATCTCATGCATTTTAAAAAAAAATGACAATAACTATACTATTTTTTCGATCTTCCCCGATTGAGTTCTTCTTGTAATAGTAAAATAAAGCTTCTTAAAAAAAAAACTGTAGTGAAATAGTCAAAATTGGGAAAAATCGTTGAACTGTATACCAAAAACCTTGTTCTTGAAAAACCCCCTTAATATCTCCATGTTAATATTCATAGGACGATAGATGAGTATAGGTACTTATTACGTGTAACGTGTAACTGATTACGATTACTGGTATTATTTTATGTTCAAGGTACTTTCAGGAGGACTGCGGCTTTTTAAAATGTCTGCAAAACAGAAATTCGAAGTTTTATTTATTTTGGGTGGTCCTGGCGCGGGTAAGGGAACATTGTGCAGGTACATCACTAAAAAATATGGTTATGTCCATTTGTCAGCTGGAGATCTGTTAAGAGAGGAACGTATGAAGCCGAATTCAAAGTACGGAGAACTTATCGAAAATTATATTAAAGATGGAAAAATTGTGCCAGTCGCAATTACTTGCAGTCTTCTAGATAATGCTATGCAGACCAGCAATAGTCCGCATAAAAGGTTCCTGATTGATGGTTTTCCAAGAAACCAGGACAATGTTGATGGTTGGAATAAGGTACAAAGATAACAATAAGTATCTTGTTTAAATAATGAAAGATTCTATACGAGGACGAAATTGTGTAATGCTTACCTTCTTTTGTAATACCTTTTATTTAATTTAGGCAATGTCAGAAAAATGTGTAATAAAAGGGGTATTGTTCTGTGAATGTAGTAAAGAAGTATGTACCCAGAGATGTTTAAATCGTGGTGCAGAAGGAAGTGGAAGGTCTGATGATAATGAGGAAGTTTTAGTCAAAAGACACGAAACTTACATCACAAATACATTACCTATAATTGAGTATTTTGAGAAGCAAAACTTTGTATACAAAATTAATAGTATGCAATCACCAGATAAAGTATTCGAAGATGCTAAAGAGGTTTTATCTAAAATTGGATGGTTATGAATTAGTAGGGAATGTTAATTGATCTCAGTGAGATCAAGTTATAATCCATTTGCATTTAATGTTATTTCATAAAAGAAAAAAAATGTACATATATATATATGTGTATTGTAAGAAAATTTAATTCATACTAGTGCAATATATTATATTTATACTGTCTTTAATTACATGTCGAGAATATTAATTTGCTTTGGTTTCAATATATACCCTTAGTATTTTTTAGTTTCTTAGTACAGGTAGCATAATGATCCATATGCACACTTTTTTAACATTACAATAATTTTCTACAAGAATCTATAAATATTTTATTGCGATTTTTGTTATTATCTATATGGGAGAGCATTTGTAATAAATTTGACATTTGTTTAAAATGTTTGTACTGTTCTCATTTGAATGAAATGTATTATACTATATAAAATATATTTTTGCTGCAATAGTAACTTGTTTTTTACTAGATCTTTATTTATAAATCTGATGCTTCAATTACACTTTCATAATCGAACATTATAATCGAAAATATTGATTTTATATTACATAGCATTCACAAAAAAATATTATCAAGAGTTTCATTAATTGATATTGAATTGATTGTTTTTTGAAAGTACGATATCTTTCTCATCACTTTTCAGTAATCATTCTTGTTATAATTTATAATCTCTTGGAGGATATTTATATATGTATATGTATATCATTACATAGATGGTTATCATTAAGATAAATGATCAGTCTTTTCATGGTTATATATTCCATTTTTAAAATAAGATAAATATGTGATCGTACATATCGAAAGATTCTTTTAAAATTTTAACAATTTGATTTAAATATTGAGCTCCTTTAGAGAGGCAACCAAATATACGTTTGAGTATAAGTTTCCCATACTACAGGCGATAATGGTTTCGTATTTTTATTTTTTAAATATCTAAAACAACTATTATTTACTTAAACAAATATAATTATTTAGATAAAATATCAAATATTTAGAAAATTTAGGTACAAAAACTTAACTGATTATTAGAATTCTCTAAAAAGAATGCATTTTATTGAAAAAGAGTAAGAAAGAATAAATTCACAACGCAATTATTTGAATTATTGTAATATAGATATAAAAGATTTTGTAGGAAGAGAAAAATTTATTTGTAAACCCTGCATTTATCGACAACCATTTTCGAAATATTTTTAGAATATATAATAAACATACATAATATATAACAAATATTCATAGAATGAAGCATATTACTAATGAAAATGTAAACAATATTAATTGACAATGACGTATCCGTTCCGAGGTCACGTATTAGCCTATGAATCATTGAACTCTCAAGATATTGGATATTGTGTAGCACAGTGTACACAGATCATCTCGTAATTCAGTTCTTGTTGTAAAGAGGATGATTTCTTGTCCTAAAATAGATTGAAAATCTATTTGAATAAAAATATCTTTATTGGAATATTTTTAAAAAAACTTATTCTTGAACATAAAACTTTCATAAATAACATTCTATCAAATACATTTCATCACCACTTTAACTATAGCTTTCATAGAGCAGAATAAAAATGTTATTCAATAATAATTCAATAAAAATTCTTATCGAAGATATATAATTTTACTGAATGTATAACATGTATTTTATTTAAATAAGTAGAATTTCTATTTATGTAATTTTTTTTTATGATAAATGATTTTTGTTATGTTAATCTTTGATCGTGAATTCTGAATAAGAAAAGAGAAACTGAGCAGACGAAGTTTAAAATCTAAGGACAGGAACCCGAATCGGCTGCACGTGTGTTCGATTTCGAAACACTTTCCATACAAAAGAACTTCATTCGACGTCTTCAAGTTTTTTTCTGGATGAAGAATAATCTCCCGTTAAAGCTATGAAGTTCACATTACGTAATCTCTCATGCTTTTAACCTAAAGACTAATTAAGTTTTAGATATATTGTTAAGATCTTTAATAGATAAATACATATTTTATTATATCTATATATATATATATATATATTAAAAGTTGAGAAAAAAGTAACGTTTTCTATGTGGAAAAAATCGTTTATAAGATGGGAGACAAAAGGCAAAGTAGAGGTTGAAATTCTGTATTGAAAGGGCATTGATTTCTTTCCTTGTTCGATTATAAACTGATCCCCGCTCCTGTTTTAACGTGCCTTCACCAACGAAAGATTGACCCGTTTTCAACTTTCTCATCGAGGTAGCCGAAATATATATCGTAAATGAGCCACCACGAACCAGAATCCCTGATGTGTGAAAATAATCCTCAACAAAGCTGCCAATGCCTGTACGTTGGCAGTAATTTCATGAAATTTTCCACAATTCATATCTTTATTCAGTATCAAATCACTCGGTTATCAGAGTTTTGCGTTTAATAACCGCGACTCAATTTCCCTGTATCGATTATCTTGGAATAAACCGTATTTCTATTCCACACGGTAATCTTTATCGGTCATGCTCTCTATGATCTCTGTAATTTTCTTTATATACCTTTTTTCATTAAGTATTGAACAATTTCTGAAACCACGAAAGAGCATAATAAAAAATAGATGAAATCAAAAAGTTGATTGTTTAAAAAATGTTTCTTGTTTTTTAAAGAGAAATATGAAATATTTTTGAAATATTCTATCTGAAATATTTTTTATTCTTTATTCTATAAAGAATCACATAGTTTTTTTTAGATCACATAGGATTTTTTTAGATTTAATAATTATGTTTAAGTTTCAAAACTCATTTCCACAATTCATTTCTTTCTACTGCTGCGGGATACCATACGCGTCTAAAGCGACAACTTTTGTGAAATTTTAAATCGCGTGATAGATGTGGTTATCTATTATGAATTGTAACAAAAGTATCTTGGTTGTTTTATCATAATTATACACGTAATCAACAACGTGACTCCTACAAAAATATCTGATTGGATCTACAACCGAATATCTTAAGATATTCGATGGAGATTCGGTAACTATACGTTGACATGATGACAAATCGAGTGAGCTATCGACGAATTTATGAACAAAGTCCGTCCAGTTCCCTCAAATTTATTGTTAATATTTGTCTTCTTCTCATATTTACTATGATTTTTCTGAAGTGACTAATAGAAGTTTCTTCGTCTAACTTTCTTAAATTTCTAAAGATAACCAACTCTCTATGAAAAGACAATTTCCATACGTAAGTCGCCACAGTCGTCCTAAATTCTATATCAGATGTATCAGAGGTTCCGTAGTAAATTCTTGTTCGAATGAAAACTTATTCGTCATTCGAATAAAATTATACCTGTCACTGGTACCAAAAAACCATATCGATCACGCTAGATTCCCATTCAACTATATTTTCTCTATGGTCAAGTTAAGTCTCAGGATACTGTCCCCAGTGATTCACTTGAGAAAAGAAGGGGATTCATCTCACCCCTCTCTATTCTAGTTCCCTAGATATGCGCGCGTCTATTCCACCATGTTTCCGCCTCGACGCTATATCTACGTCACTCGCCATTTTCCAATTAGGACGTCAAGCACGTTGACTTCCTTTTTTTCCCACCAGAAACATTCCCTGGTACACGTGATTTCGGTCAGTGAACTTGTCGCGAACTTTTCCGATATTTTCCTCTAGTTGTATACGGCAATTACATTCTAAACATGTGCCAATTCCACAGGTTTATGTAATGCTACAATTTTCTTATATTTTTCTTTCCACAATTATCTTCAAACGTTGAGTTTTCCTGCATAAATAGACTGGGCTGATAGAGTTTGTCGAGTCGTGATATTTTTCTCTACAATCGAAATTTTCTATAATAGTGTCTATCCTCTGATTTTATGTTTGGTGTGTCGTCTTTTTTCTATTAAGTATACCAGAGCCAATTGAATTAATATTATTACCCTATCTATAATCTGTAACTAGGAAATTCATTAATAATATTAGTTAAATTATTCTGCAAAAAAGAGCAGACAAATTTCATAAGTTTTTGGATTTTCCACAAATACATAAAAATTGGCAATTTAGTTATAAGATATCTATAGTATAGTTGTCGAAAGGAATTCGAAAGACTCGATACAGGTTAGTTCGCTAATGGTCAGAAAGTAGCAGTAAAGTTGACCAAACGTCACCATCAAATTCTACGTGTTTGTGTATGTAAAATATAATAAACGGGATATTCTTTTATTACTTCGGGTCCACTCTAAGAAAGCATTCGATACTAAAAAGAGACAATAAAAAAGGTTCACATAAACGTACGACCTACTTATCCTTGTCATTGGGTTATAGCTACTTTGTGGTTCCGTTGGTCCTCCTTGAGTAACTGAGCCTGAATAACTGAGCTTACTGAACCGTATGCAATTAATTCTTAAACTATAAAGAGAGAGATGTAAGAATTAATAATCTGTGTAACATTCACGAGTATGTTCAAGATCATATTAGGTTAGGAAGAATATACGAGTGTGTACAAGTTTCTAAGTTGTTGTTATTATCCCGATATTAGCACTGTATACTCTTAAAGGTCAATTGGAAATAATAAAAATAAACGTTATTTTCAAGTACACTATCTTCTGTATCACAGATGAAAATGGAACAAAAAGGGAGTCGCAATGATCTACATAAAATTTAGAGATATCCAATTACAATGATTAATGTACAGATACGTTATAAAATTAAAAATACTTTTGGGATGCTATATCTTAAAGAAAATGCATATTATAAAAATATTATGATTTGGATGATAGTTCCTCAGAAACTTTTTTTAAATCACATTAAGTTCCTATATAATTGTTATGAAATTTTCTAAATTTGATTAGCAAGCTATATTGATGAAATTCTATATTTAACTCTTACTGTATTTATGTCATTAAATTTAACCCAGTAAATAAACAAGTAAACAAAAAATCTCGTTCAGGAAAGGAAGGAGAGGAGGGAAAAGTCTCGTTTGTCGGGAGTAAACAGTCAAAGTCATCTCTTTTCACGACTCTTCGTTCGATCTTTCTTCCTTCCTTGTTGTATTCCTTGGAAGAGAGACAGATTACTGTGCGCGTAATCCTCCGGTCGCATCGATAAGAGGTGCCCATCGTCGAGTCGAATGCTTTTACCCCCATCATCGTGCCAGCGCCTCGAGCAATATATAAATGCACCAGCGATTGACAGAACGTACAGTTCACGTTTCAGCGCCTTACGCTCCTTTC